CCCCCCCCCGATACTGAGAGAATAGCCTTCCGGCCCGGCCCCACTTTGTAACTAAATGATAAGCGCTCTTTCAGCAGAAAGCGCGCAGCGTGTTCAGCGGCCAAGAAAACCCAGAGATAGCCCAGAATGAACAAAGACGTATTTGCTGTTCACTTGTTTATTTAAGCCAATCTTGTGTATAACGCCGCTTAATTACTCGTCTTGACCTAAATATTAATCACACTATTTTCTCAAGCTACACTTGTACATAGGGACCTTTACAAAATCCGGCCATTTTAAAGCCACAAAATGATGTGCAGAATTCATATGTTATGCATTCCGAAAATTATCGCAAAGTGTCCATAAGGCTTTTAGATGGACAGACTGCTTTACTTATTGCATCCCTAGGTTGATCAGGTATGACCTCTGTATAAACTAGATTCGACTGCTGCAGCCTAAATTAAAAGAGTTTGTTTCTTTTTATTCACGATGCAGTTGTGATAGAACCCACATTCCATCACCAAATTTGCAAAACTCGCTTCTGATACCTTGTGGGAGAAGGCAGTCAATTTAGCGAAGTTCTTATGAATTGGCGTTCTGTTTAGCCTATGAAACGAATACCAGTCCATTTTCTGGTGTTTCTATAGGACATTATTGACGAAGACAAAAATGGTTGTTTTTCAGCGATTACAACAAAAAATAGCAACTAAGTGCAACTGAAGTTTTATAGGGAAACGTTTTTGTATTTGTACTAGCCCATTACCCCTCCAAACGGGCAAAGCTACGTTCTCTTTCATTAAATCGCAGGTGTCAGTTTTAAAGACGTGAAGAAGGAACGCGAGATGGTGAAGTGGGAACACATGAAGGCAATGGATTACTTGAGAGAGCCATCGACCAAGTCGGGAGGAAAACGATCTGGCGTGGAGTCAAGAGCGGTGGTATTCCGCGGCGTCGGTACTGGAGCTGGCATCGGACCAGGGCCGGCAATGGACCTGAAGACAGAGATGTCTGCAGTCACTGAGGTATGTAAAACAACATCGTCCTCCCTATTAAGAAGTGAAAGATATGTAAACAGGACCTTAATAGCCTACCCTGATTGTGCTTCATTACTGTCTATTCCGTAAATATGTTGTATAGATTCAAAAGGCAGAAATTTTAGATAATTTCCGGAAATTTTGTTATCATTTGGCACAGTAATGTGATAATGAAAGCACTTTCATAGTTAAAGTTTTCTATCATCTGTCTAACCGTATTTCTGCTCTGGTTATATTTACTTTCAATTCACACTTTTTAGTTTATTTTGGACACAGTGCATTTGCTAACTTAAAGAATAAGGTAACTTTTAAAAATTGAAGTATCTTAAGGGGCCCATACACTTATGCATGTATGTTTTTTACGGAGGCCATTAATAGGTCAGGCTGTTTGGATGGTGGTCACCTATTAAAAAATACAACCCAGAAAGATATAAAAAGCAGATTTTGGCAACGGTCATGAAAATCCAAAGCCAGTCAAATTAAAACAAATTTCATAAACCTGCAATGTATTTTGGTGCATCATTTTCCGACCTATTTTCGTTGCTTCCGGAACATGACTGTCAGGGCAGGTTAGACTGATAAATTCAGGTTGCTTTCCATCTGCCGCAATTGTCAGCACTTCCTTCCTGTAATTTGGACCTGAACATATTTTCACCGGAAACTTGAACTACTGAGTAAAACTAATGCTAAATGTCATACTGAAAAGTGCTGGCTGTTCTTGGCAAAACGCACAGTATCAACTGCCATGAGCATGTGCCTGTTTCCTCTTTTACTACCATGTTAAAATGGGTTTTAGTTACCTCGTTGGTATACTGAGTTTTTTTAAGGAGAACCAATATTAGTATATTTGAGGAAGATGAGGTGGGTTATCTTTGAATATCCTATTTGCACATGCCTGTTGTGATATCAGAAAATAGTATCCCAGTTTGTTGGCGAGACCAATTGATATGAGCCAATGAGGCAGATCATAGTCGAAAAAGAGCAGACAGTTTGTTTTATCCTACTTAGCCTTTACTTATGAATAAATCATATGGCATTTAATTTGGAGGACAGTGATGAAGACGCCTACGTGTATACCTGTACTCTGATTCACTCTGCTGACAAGAGTATCCGTGTTCGTTCTTCTAATTCAGTAGTCGAAGTAAATTACTCCATGAGCGTTCTAAAAGCTTTAGAACTACTGCTCAGTTCGCGATAGTCATTTATTTATTATTTATTAAAAGCGTAAATGACAGCAAGTTGATTACAACTCCTCCAGACGCTACTTGTCGGTCATGAGATCAGTAGCTAATTATCTTTGACGGCCGTGTCGTTTTTGTTTGGTTGAGACGACATGAACTAGAAATGATGGGGAATATTACTGTATAACGCAGCTGACGCCACCCGTCAATTCAGCAAACATGTTGTGGTTATGGCGATATCGTAACTGACATCGAGATAACAATGGGACTAATAAGGGACTGGGCACTTTTTTTCAATTTCCTGATCCAGTTAATCCTGTAAAATGACAGATTTTGGGTGGATTCACGCACAAAAGGCCTTTCAATCATGATTTGTCAGTCAGTCTTTTAACTTTTATCCGTTTTTTTAAATATTACAATGATGGCTTTCTTTATCTACATGTCTACTGGAGAATTTCATGTTTGCGATAGGGCATTGGTATGGAGCTGGAGAGACGCTTCAAAGACCTAGACAGCCACTTTCAACGTTTCAACGAAGTGGATTCACGTCTCACAGAGGTCACACAAACGCTTTCCACACTTGGAGAGGTGGTGCGACAAGTGACTGCTACACAAGAACAGGTTGGCGCGTCTAACTTTCCACTTAATATATATATATATATATATATATATA